TGAGGCTTCAGTACTGTTGACAAAGTTTGTGATATTAGAGATAAAGTGTGAAGGCTGAATACAATCACGCACACAGCCCATGGGGGAGCATATGAGGGTCTTGAATTTTCCTTGTTTAAAGTGACGGGTCATTTGATTAAAAGCTGCGTCATAAATTCTGTCATAATTATAAAAGTTATTAGAGTTCATAAAATACTGTGGTTTTGTGACAAGTCCATATACGCCAGCTCCACTCTTTGATTTTTGAAAAGTTAAATTTTTGTCACACAGGTCAGTTGCACAGGGCTTGCCAAACTTTTCTTTAAAAATCGTAGCAACTCCTTCACTCATGTTTTTTGCATGTCCAAAATCTGCTGAGATGCAATGAGCAAAAGCCACATCTGAGTTGTTATATGTGTCTATTGCAGATCCCATGTCAACTTCCATTATTCTGACAGAGCTAGTTAATATCTGAGGTGGATGACTTGAGTAGTGGTTTTTGTTTAAAACAAAATCAGCGATTCTCCTGGAGAGAACTCGTTTGCCAAATTTGTTAAGATGCTGGCCGTGACGAGTGAAAAGGTGTCTATTGAAATCACTTACATTGATCAGATGCAAGCTATCTAGTTGTTTAAGTTCACAGTTTATTTTGTAAATTTCTTTATTAATCACACAGTCCGATGTCAAGTCATGTCTTTGAAATTGTGTCACAAAGACTAAGTTGGTGTGCTGATTTGCTGCGACAAATTCCTTGAATTTTCTCAATATACACCTTGCTGGTTCCCGGTTGGAGTAGGTGATGTCACAAATATTGTTAGCACCAGCAATGACTATAACCGTGTCCTCATTTGAGAATTCTTGTGTCATGTTGGAAATGTTGTTCAATATATAATCAACAGAAGCACCCGAGTTAGCACACGCAAATGATTCATAGTCATTCGGTAGTATTGGCAATAAGAGGTTCCCAAGGTCCTTTCCATGGCTATCAGAAAATATGTAAACCTTTTTTCTGCGCTTTAGTACAGGGATAGCTTCTGATGTGTTTATATTTGCGGCACAGTTTTTGTTTGGTTTTAAATGGACTGGTCGTCCTTTATTATGATGAGCTTTCAATGGGGATATAGTCCTGATATATTGTTTCTGTTGTTTTTTTGGCTGTTGTTTACATTTTAGATTAGTAACTAAGGAGTTAGCAGTTACATAAGATGAGCTGTTCTGTAGATCATTAGACAGTGCACTATATCTGTTAGATAATGTAGGACCTGGGGGATTTTCTAACTCAGGGCCAGATGTCTTACAGCTTTTTTTGGGCTGTACAAAAGGATACTCTGAAATGGGAACAGTCTTCTGAACCATCAAGGCTTTTACAGTTTTTGCATCAGTCGTATTACTCAGGATGTAAGTTAATGAACATCTTTTTTTATGCAATCCAGTTCATCAAAGTGTGGAATTGAAAAGTTGGCAAAATCACAGTTATCTAGGTCCATCTGTAGAACGTGTTCAATGGCTAGTATCATAAAAATACCACAGTCGTATGCATTATTCTGAATTGGACCTTGAACAACATTGAAATCATATCTATCTTTTAAAAAAAAAAATTGATCACTTTGTTAGCAATGAGCTTACTTTGTTCAATGTTTTTTGATGGTATAGAATCATAGTAATAAAAGGTATTTATGTCATGTTTAAATACTAGCAGACTCCAATGAGAACCACCTTCACTCTCAAAGTTAATTGAGTCATTTACTGGGATAATGAGAATATTTTTACTTGGCAAATTCAGTGGCTGTAAAAGGTGATCTGTATTTATCAAGGATTTCAATGCATGACTGATAAGTGGGTTCAGTATATAAGCATTTGCATTCGACCCTGATATATGATTATTTAATTGATCAAAATACTTGTTTAAATGTTCATCAGTGAGCCATACAGGTTGGATCAAATTATTTTGCAACTTGCTACTCAAATTCTGTAATGAAACTGAAAGCAATTTAATTTGTTCATTTGCTTTCAATAATTTAGCCTGCAGTTCATGGTGTTTAATTTTTATCTCCTCTATTTCCTTGTCATGTATAGTAGAAGTTAAGTTCGCTGTGGTTTCATTTACCTCAGTCACAGGTTCACTAATTACTTCTTTAATGTCAGTTTTTGAGTTATTTTTTGTGACATTAATCTTAGAGAGGTCAGCTTTTTTCCTGGTAATTGATCTTGTTCTAATTAGAGGACTTTCCTTTGATTTGTTTAGTACATTACCGGTAGTACTTTTATTTGCAAGAACCATTTTAGGCTTAAAATATTTGCAATTCTAAGACATATATTTTAATTAGCTCAAACGTTTAAAGGCTATATTTTATCAGGCTACTCAGTTCACCTGACGATAAAACATCTTTTTATGAAGGATATCAACCAAATCAAATCAAACAATCAAAAACAACAACGTATTTTTAGTTCTCAAAATGTAAACAACAATAAAAATCCTTGTAGTAATAATGTAGTAAAATAAATAATAATAATAATGGGTTAAATTAATAAAGGTCCTGGAAAAATGTAAACAAACGACACAAGTCCACCTGAGTTACTTGGAGAACCTGACCTTGTCCCCCTTGTCATAGGTCTAGAATAGTCTAGAATAGTTCTTGTCATAGGTCTACCTAATGTAAGGTATCTGGACAGGAATGATGGTGATCGCCGGGGTTAAATTCTCATCTCCTTTCTGGCAATAGAGAGACAAGCAATCTACTGAGTTTATAACAAGTAGAAATTTTATCATTCACCGAAATAGGAAATACAGGAGGCCTATGATTAGGCCTACTTTTTAAATCTTGAGAAAACTAACTAGCCTACCCACATTTCCTTCAAAATAGCTCAATCAAGGGTAAAAAAAGAACCTTTGATTTTGGTAAATACTGAGCCACTTGAGCTTGTCACATGCACAACATTTCTTGGTCTTAGAATAGAGATAACAACTTGAATTGGAATGAGCATGTAGACGACATTTTAGCTAAAGCAGGTACTGGTATGCACTAAGAAGAATGGCACCTAGATATGCAGTGAATCCACTCTTATATTTACTATCAGTGGCGTAGCGACAATAGAGCGAGTAGAGCAGTCGCTCCAGGACGGCAAGCACTAGGGGGCGGGGGCGGCGCCATACTAGGATTTTTTTTTACGATGTTGTCAAGTGTGGTAGGGGCGGAAGGAAGGTGAAGGGTAGTTTTAACTATTGTCACAACGAGCGCTAAGTGCTGCGATCTGTCAACACAATTATTATATGATATCACTGATCAGTCAAATGAGTAAGTAGTGATTCGTGAGGTTATGTCTATCGTGCCGCGCGCGGCGGTATTTAAGTTGTTAATTTATTAATACACCACTGTTTCTTTAGAAGTGTTGGGTACTTTCGTATTATACGGAGGACACTAATTTTACAGCACGCTGCGGCGGTTATGTTAGATTGGGTTAGGCCCTATCATAAATATGTTTGTAGGACTTTCCTCGTTTCGTTATGAATCGAATGATACCAAATGCTTCATACACAGCATTTATGATAACCTAATTTAACATAACCGTCACAGCTTGCTGTAAAAGGGTGGCCTCCGTATAATACAAAAGTACCAAGTGTTGTTTAGTGCTAATAATAAACTATAAATTCGGTTAAAAATATTTCTACAAAGGTGAGGTGGTAAGTTTTGAACAGAGAGTTGAGTTCATACTTACAAATACGGTAGGCCTACACATCGGTCAATGTGACTGTTGGGAATTTTACGATTTCATATTGGCAACACTGATTAGTGTTTGTGCTTACCATTCGTAACAATACCTTCCTCTCTACCCCTCCCTGACCCTCCGGTAGAATATCGATAGGTTTTACCCAGACGAGTGTCTAGGGTGGATGTTTTTTGTTCTGCTGGTCGGTCAGATTTACCGGGTGTGTTCTATACTGTTACCCTGCTGTCGGTCAAAGTGACGTTTGTGTTCTATAACATTAGATTATATTGAATCTATATTCATCTTTTGTAGTGATATAGTTACATTTTCCGAGTTGTCTTATCAGCATACAAACGCGATATACTTTGTAAACACTAAATAGTTAGTATTAGTTCTGTGTATATTTTTAAGTAAAATGGACCGACTTACTACAAGTAAGTCTTGTAGTACATCATGAGCACGGAAAGTGGATGATCCAGATTTTGATGAACTAGTACGTAGGATATTAGAGGAAGGTGAGGACAACCCAGATGAAGTCGATGATGTTGGCTCAATATTGGACAACTCAGACGCTTACCCTGACTACGTGATGCGTTAAAGTTAGGAAGAGAATTCTTGTAGTAAATAGTAAATAGTATAGTAATAGTAAATAGTTTGTAACTCATTGATGTGACTTTGGAAATGATTGTTGATGGGTGAGAAGTTAATTGACTTACTTGGCTAATAAGTGAGGGCCGGGAATGAGAATAAAACAAGAGTTACTAAATGAATTTACAATTTATTAATAAAAAGAGAAAAGATAAACTCGAAGGCCTGAAATGGTCAGTTGGGATTCAGATTTTGAGGAGAAAGAATCAGACTATCTTTTAACTTGGGGATTTGGTTTTCTGGATAAATTTGATGTTAGGGTTGTGGTTTCGGGGCAGATACAGATTGAACAGGCTAGATCAGGTTGAATTAGGTAACGTGAGATGACAAAGGGCGACGCAAGGAAAGGGGAATGTTGGATAGGACTTTTTAGGGTGACGTAGGGTAGAGGAAGACGACGCAAGGTACGGGGAAGGTCGGAATAGGGCTTGGAAGGTGACGTAGGGGAGGGGAAGGTGACGTAGGGGAGCGGAAGGTGACGCAAGGTAAGGGGAAGGTCGGAGAAGGCTCTATAGGGCGACGTAGGATAGCGGAAGGCGACGTAAGGAAAGGGGAGTTGAGGGGACTGAAGGACAATTTAATATAACATTTGGGGGAAAACAGACAGGTGTAATTCGGGCACGTTACAGCAAATGTAGGTTTTTAAGTATATGTTTACTGTTTAGGTAGAAACAAACTTCCAACAAGTAGCAGAACGTCAGTTTGTTACGGTCATACCTAATGCTGACGACACTGACCATCTGGCGGTATTCCTCACAGGACAAATATGCTTCCCAGCTGGAGCTGCAGGGTTGAGTAAGTAGGCTTGCCTCTTTTCTCAAAATTATATTTTAAGGCTATTAATGTTTCCTCTATCACCAATCTATAACAACTATAAAAATAGCATATTTAGTTCATTTTTCAACTTTTAAATCAACAATTGTTGCTTATGTTGGAAATACCAGTTTTCCCCCTGTTTCTTGATTATATTTTTCGAATCTTGAAACCCTATCACAAAACTTTTACTGACCTGTTCAAGGTTAAAAAAATACAGGTAAGTTAGTATTCAAATGATCACTATGCAATAGAAACAGAAGGAAATCGACTCCTCACCCTGATATAATAGTATAAATAAGTGACTATTGACCTTAAGAAACTGTACTGTAAGTTGTTCCAGTATTATTACACTTAACAAGTTCGCTGTGGCCCACGAATGGCAGGCGTAGCCCCGGTGCGACGCAGCGTCGAGCGAACCCATTTGGCTTTCAAATATTTCGGTCTGAAGATAGCAAATGTACGGTAATGTGCTGCGTTACGACAAAATTCGACGTGGTTTGCCTGAAACAATCACAGATAGCTGCACTGTCTGGAACTAGCTGGTTCCATTGTATTACCAATTGAAGAGAGATAGACGGGACAACAAGTTGATTTCTAATCTTGCCAGAAGGGAATTCTATGGGGAAATTTACTACCAACTTACACCACAATAAAGCACCCATTCAGTACTAAACATAAAAGTACCCGTTACTCCCGGTGTGCTGCTGTGCAGAAATTGAATGGGATGATCACTCACAGGTACGAGCGTTCAGCGTGGCAAAAAGAAACTAGAGCACTCACCGGTGAGTGGCCCGCAGCGAACGTGTTAAGATGGAGTTCAGAATACAATCTACTTGTTTCATTAGTATTAATTATCTGTTTGCTTCATTGCTGCCAGATTTGTGTTTAACCGGGCTATTAACAATAATAATGACGCCAAAAAAAATCAGCGCTTTCAAAAACAAAAGCACCAAAATGTTCAATTTAGAAACTTTGGAATCTTAAATCCCGTTGATTGAATTTTGAATCCAAAATTTTTCCAAAAATTTTAAGGATTTGGCACATCACTATATTCTACATTCATTTAAGTGGCTATACACAGGAATAATTGCAGTACTGTAGGTCCTGCGGAGGACTAGCCAAAGTTTTCTCAACATTTTAAAGTGAACAGTTAGGCGGTCGACACACGGAAAGACTGAAACCCAACTAAAGTTGAATCAACTGTTCTGTGACGCGATTACGATTGCAGTTGCATTTGTTAAATCCCCACACGGGCGTGACTGAAATAATTGTAGTTGAGTTGAGACAGTGAATGAGTTCTAATTTTGAATCCATGTGTGTAGCCCCTGAGCTGTTGGACATAATGTAAGACTAAATTACTTACGTAATTCCCGTCACAGCTCACTAAAATATGTCTATTCAGGACATGTTTCGGTGTTAAAACACCATCGTCAGCTTCAGGTACATAGTGTAGAGTTGATCAGTTGTTAACATCGTCAGAAGATAAACACAGTACTGACACGAATAAATACATAAAACAATTAAAAATTTAAAAAACAGGCCTGTTCTAACAAAGATGACCGACCGCACAGTTGCTACCTGGGACAGACTAGCTAGACTAGCCAGACTAGAAGGTAATTTTGGTTTCAATAGATTTTAAATAAATACTTAACCAATATTTTGTTTAATTAAAAAAATTACTAAAGTATTGGTAAAGAATTTATTTAGGCCTAAAGTTGTTGAAATAATAGTTTAGAAAATGTACTTAAGGGAACAAATACACATACAATATCAAACAAAAAGAAATAATTTAATTTTAAACATTTTGCCAACAAAGTAGACATTTTAAAGTGTGATATGTCATCAGTCTCAAGGCTACTTCATGCTTTGGGCCATCCTTCCTCATGGGTGGTGGCACTGCGGCAGCAAACCGTTTTTGCTTACTAGCCAAACATGATTCAGTTAGACTATGTACATCGATGACGGCTGTACATAAACATTACACGTAGGCCTACATATTAATTAACTGTTATCTAGGATAAGGGTGATTAACTTACCCATTTTAATAGTTCAATATGTACACTCCTCTATGAAACAGTTGCAATAGCAAGGTTATTGTAGGTTGGTTTACATATTAGTACACTGACTCCCATAGTCCTAAGTATAATAACAGCTGAGTTATTTTTTTTTAGGGGTTAAGTACAGGAAATGCACCCAAATGGAGTGTATAAAGGTGGTAAGTGCTTCACTTGCCCCCTTCATCCACGCAAAGTTTCACTTACACCCTTCATCCATAACTCTTTGTGCTTCACTTGCTCCCTTCATCCATGTAAAGTTTCACTTACCCCCTTCATCCATAACTCTGCGCACTTGTCCCCTGCACTCACCCCCTTATTGTTAGGTAATAGTAGCGTACGTACTGTAGCTAACATCATATCCAAATCAGCTGTCAATGAAAATTACCTTAAAACATTTCCTATTTGCATTTTAGTGTGTTTTAAAAATGTATTGGACCGTATTGGACCCACTTAGTACAACGATTTTTAGCTATTCTTTATAGGTAACTGCTTCCAAGAAGTAATAGATTGTACATGAAAAAAAATATTTCAGAATGAAAAATTGCAGGGATAAGACTGATAAGCATCTAATAAAAGACAGTTATTACTTGCACATTTAAAAAAATATTTAGTATTTTTAATATTGTGGTATTTCTTTTGCATAGCTGGCTTTTAGTTGCCATTTTTTGGACTAAATTACAAGTCAGCGCATAAAGTCTATGATAAAGACTAAGTAAGTTGACTTGTTAAATTTTATTTTATTTTGGTGCAACAACCTTATTTAAATGTACCTACTTTTGATGGTAACATGTTGAAATAAAGTATTTTTTTTTACCAAAAATAATTTATTTTAATTGTTTACATCACTTAACCCCTTCTTCCACTACAAAACAATTTTTTTTTTTAAGTGGATAAAGGAGGTAAGCAATAGAAAAGTTAAAATTTTAATAGTAAGGAACATTTCAATTTTTATTAAGTATTGTGCAAAAATTATACATCTCTGCCCTTCCTAATGGCCGTTTTAAGAATGAAAAAAGTTAAAAAATTAAAAAGTTATAACCTGCAAACTTTAAGTCCATTTATCTCAAAAGCAACAAAATGTTACTTTCCCCTTTCATCGACTCACCCCTTCATTTATCAGGTGTTGAGCAAACGTTTATTTTTGTTTGTCGTTTTTCGGGTTCCAATGATGCTCTCTTTGCATGTGCACAAAAACAATGTGTTGTTTTTCCTACATAAAAACTAGGGACAAGGACAACTACCACATTCAATTTGGCTGACAACGAACTGCACTCACGGTCAAAGGAATTTACAAGGGTTGGAAGGGTTTAATAAGCCATATGGAACTGCACTCACGGTCAAAAATCGGTCTTTCACGGCTGAACGCTTCGCTAGCCCCTTAGTCATCTGTTTATTCCGTCCTCTGTCTTACTTTATCCAATACTTTATTTAATACACGTTTTAGTGTCTGTCCCAATAAATACAACAATAAATACAACAATAACTAACCTAACCTTACCTAACCTAACCTAACCTTTACAAAAGAAGCTTCGTTATGATAAGAATATAGCCTATCATGTTATCGTAAATACTATGCTAGAATTTTCTGTACACATGTGTATTTTTTACAATGTCAGTAGTAAGTTTATTTTTTGACGTTTAGATTAATTTAATAAAAACTTTTCAATATATTTCAACTAATTTAATAAGTTTTAATCAATTCAATCATGGTGTTGCACAATGTGATATAGGCTAATTAAAAACTGACCGTGAGTGCAGTTCCGGTACCCCCAGAAAGGCTCAAAGTGACCGTGAGTGCAGTTCCGTAGTTGGATTAGGACCAGGGACTGACCGTGAGTGCAGTTCCAGCCCTCCCTTCAATTTTGTATATCCCTGATCTGTCACCCTTATATAAAGGGAAAAAATACAATCTAAATTAATTAAAATTATTAACAAAAAATTCTTTATTTGTTAATAAACACAAACAACTTCCCTTATTGTTAATATATCAACCTTAAATACTTCTCACTAATTTCTTTACAAATTTGATGGTTGTCCCTGGGTTGGAAGAACAAAGAGATTGAAATACTCAACAGAGCGATGGCAGTGAAAGCTTGATGTTAATAAAAAAATTAAAGTGGGCCCTGTAAAATAAAAGTCATTCCCAGAAGTCCTTATGGGAGGGTCTTGATAATTTCTTATATCTGATATCTTCAAAAATGATGGCAATCTTATAACTACACTGGCTTTACTATTGCACTACTATCACCAAAATATTGTGTTGTACCAAAGGTATATTGTTTGTAGTGTAATCTCTGGATTGAGACTCTCAGAATACCTGATTTAATTGATAATGAAGCTAAATGTAGGAAATATAATAACAAGGATAAATGAAAATCAGAGAATTGAAGATAATATCAGAATATAATGATTTTGACTTTATACAATATCAACTTAATACACCTAAACTTTATATAATTTCAGGAAGAGATTTGTTACAGATTATTGCTGTCTAAAACCTATGTATCTATTGAAATGGAATAAAAACACTAGTTTGCGGCCGCACGACGACGGTGATAAAAGGGGCAGAAGGTGCAACTATTTAATGTTTGAGACACTCAACGCCCAAAGTCCTGTTGTTTGACTGGCCAGTACAAAAATAAATTCTTGCAGAGTCGATATTGAAGACAGCTTTTAGTGCCAGCTAGGCTGGACACAATAATCCTGGATAAGCATTATGATAAAAGGAACGTTTGATTAAGATTTACTGGCGTTATGAGGGAGCTGTCTATCAGCAATTTCACACCTCCACTACCCAACATCACCGCCTGACGTCAACCAGCAAACTATCCCCTTCTTTACGTTAATCATCCCAAATCAGTTTTAGTGACAATCTGTATTATTTTAATATTTTAACTCTTTGGCTTGGTGAATGAACAGTGATATCTTATGTGACTTAAAACTTATAGGCCACGTGACAGTAAAATAATCCTATTGTTTAAATTTACAGAACTATTGAGAATATTGATATATCAATGTTTAAATACTTGCTATTAATACAAATTAAATGGATTCAATTGGATTCAAATGACTACATGAAATTGCAAAGTCTAACTAACATGTGTTACAAAACAGGAAACAACAATGCCAAACCTGCACGAACCACTATTTGAAACAACTCAACTAACAAATAAATTACAAATTACTTACAATTTTGTCCGGACAACACAACACTTAGGACACACAAATATTGGGCAAGCCTCTGATTCCGTGAAATTGATTTAACTTTTGAAAATCGCTGCGTTCACGTGAAATTCCAAATGCGGTTTGTACTAGCAGGGATTCGATGAAATTGTTTCTTTTTCCGATTTAAACAGTTTTGATTTTGAATGCAATACAAATATATCCCTTTGGGATATATGCTAAAGCGGGTAACGAAGATAAAAAATTGGACCTGATTAGAACCGCGACTTTGATTAATTTAGCACGAGACGCGGCAGTGGCTTACCCAAAACGACGTCTTACAATCACTCCTCGACTACAACAGACAGACAGACGGTCAGTCCTGGTCTTCGCATTTGTGGACAACGATATTGCATGGAATTCTGGGTCAACGGCTGGTCAGCTGATCAATGTTTTCGCGCGGGATTTGAATTTGACGCCTCAATTCCTTCAAATTCGGTACACTTATCAATAACCTTTTTAGAACATTAAGTTTGTTTATAGTGTTGTTATTTGTCCTTAAATCTAACTCTATTCTGTGTTTCATTAGTTCTTTGGCTAATCCATGATGTAACGAATAAGAATATTCTACACATATATATTTCTTATCTCATGGCACTTCATTACCATTTTTATTTCTATTTTATTTGATGATGATAAAACAGTCGTAACATTTGTTACACTGCAGGAGCTGGTAATATTTTGATTTGGTTATAGAACCAGTTCGGGGGCTAGAAAATATGGATAGTAATGCTCTTTTTATCCTCCATAAGCTTGAGTATAATTATATAGTATTAATTATATTTAATACTAGACACATATATAGTATCGTATTAATTACATAGTATCGTATTAATTATATAGTATCGTAACACATTTTCACTGAATTATAAATCCAATTTGAGTGTTTTTATCTGACGTATTTCCTAGGATGTATAGGCCTACTTGTTCAAAAGCTGTTTCAATTGTATGTTTCAGTTTACTTCAGTTGCCCGGACCCAAATGCCCCACCCAATTGGCAATTGTTGGGGTACATTTCAAATGATAAGCCGTCTTCAGTTTTTAAAATAACGGGATTGAAGAACAACGTTATTGAACAAAGTGGCTTCCTACAGTTCGCTCAACAGGCAATTTCACATAACGCCCAAATAGGCATATCAGTTGAGCCGATCGAAGTCGTCCAGCAACAGATAATACAATTGGAAAATAGTAAACCTAACGAAGCAAGCAACTTCCTTGAATTTACAAAAAAGATGCTTGAGAACTTTTCTGAGTGTGTTTCTTCGTTTCTTGTGCCAGGCAGTCCGTTTGTGGTACCACTCAGTGTAGTAGACAATTGGTACAAAAACTTTGAAAAGAGATTAGAAATGAATCCTCGATTCTGGAAATGATAGACGTACTGTCTTCTGCTGTGATACTTCAAAATGTGACTGAGAGTTTTTAAGACTGTCCACATTGTGCCTAGTGCATACGATTTAAAACGTTTATTTTGTATTATTTGTTTTTGTTTTTTTGTAAATATTACTAAGTTTTAAGTGAGCTATGAAATGCCAAATAATAATACCTATAGCTCTAGGACTATTGCTTGCAAACTCTCCTTGAGGTTTGAGTTATTGTAAGAAATGCTAAAAATTGGGAGAGAAATTGAGCCACTAGCTTGTAATTTTACATATTGAAATACTTACATTTACATTTTAATTTTAAATTACTTTGCTTTTTAATGAATTAAACAAAAAATAAAAATATAAATGTATAGTACAATGCAAAAGTAGTTTCATTTAGTTTTGTTATTAATTTCTGTTTTGTTAAAATCAATAATCATATTATATTATTCAATCAAAATTATGAACAAATCTGCAATTTAGAAATTGAGGTATTTAATGTCTTTGTATTCCAGTTTAGATACTTACTAAAAAATTTCTTTTCCATTCAAAACTGTGCTATGTGATTTTGTCAGTAAAACTTTAATTAATTAATCCTGTGTTGATTTACACTTTTCCTATCTGAGAAAAATGTATTTGCAGGGCAATCTTCAAGTGTATTGGGCATTATTTTATCTTGCGATGGCAGTGTCTTGATGTTTGAATTTGAGCTTCACATTCAGTTAATCAAAACCATGTAGGTTTACGTGATGGTTGCCAGGTTCTTGAACGGTATGACCCAATGAACATTTCGCCACCTGTTTGGCATGATTAGGAGCAAAGTTTATATATTTACATTTTTGTTTTCACGAAAACTAAATTATTCATTTATATTTAGTAGGCTGACTGTGTATGGCAGGAGTGTATGAGCAGACCGATGACTACACACTTGCTACTTTCTGACTGTTGAACCGTACTGGTATTGGCTTGAAGTTTGGTTGGAGAGTGAGGGGATTGGGATGAGGTACAAAAACCATTCAGGAAACCTACATGTGTAATTGTTCTTATTGTTCTTAATGCTGTGAATCCTACACTCAATCAAAACCATTGACTATAAATACTAAAGACACCTAGAAATACAGGGTGGTGTGTGAAAAACATGTTCTACATTGTGAGGAATAAAACTTAGTACTTACCTCTTTGCGCTTTATCGCAGCGCCATCATCATGCAGTTCATGGATAGTGGTTAGTTTTGAATACATGAAACTTACTAATATGCTGCCAGGTGTGGTGCAGGTACTGCCTCCGTTCCCGTCAGTAGTCACAGTCTTGGCCCTACTAGCTGGTCTCGGCGGTGTGATTTAGGGTCTGGGCCCGGGTTGGTGCGCGCGACCCCACATGTTGTTTCCATGATACACGTTGATTCAGGAAGATATGGCAAATCTTTGACAATTTATTTTATATATTCTAAATAAGAATAAAGTTAATATAAACACTTTATTATTGAATGTGGGAACGCTGCGCAACAGAGTTTTACAGGGGCAGAGTAACAGCTTTGACTATTAATAAAACAACTAGACATTCCATCCCCATGTTAAAGTTGTAGCCAGGTTTTTAATAAAATTTGTCTTAGTTGATGTGAGCCACCTACAGATTGCACTGATCTAAATTACTGATTTCTGCCGATTACACGATGGTTTTTACCAAGTCAAACCGATGGAATGACTTATTATGAGCTATAGCAACTGTTGTGACCCACCAAATATGTCAGTAACAAAAAAAAAGGTACAAAATAGAGTTTTAGACACTAGCGCAATCTGTGACTGGCTTACACAACTACATTCTTTTTTAGTAAAAAATTGGTGACAGCTGATCCGTATAGATGGGATGTCTTCACATCCTAATTTGTTACATCACTAATATTTTTTTAGTATTAACTTTAACTGAATGAAAGTTAAATTTGCAATTGAAACAAATAATTGGAAGTGATTTTGTTTGTTCAGTGAGATATTTTTTATTTTATACAAGGAATAACTTTAGGGACAAACTGTTTAAATATCTCCTATACTCTGTGCGGCGAGTGTTTGGAGTGAAGCGCCGCCCGCTGGGGGAGTGACATTTGAGTCAGGCCTGTTCACAGTAAACCCCCTGCGCAGCCTTGCTATTGGTATCAACCTCGAGTCCATTCAAACACTTTTGTTACGAATTTGACTGGTGGAATGTTTGTAAAAAGCCTCTGAAGAAACGTCAACCTCCTCCACTATCTCGGGGGTCACTCTTTTTAAGGGTAAAGAAAGAGGCTCCCATAGGGCTAGGTAAAAAAAACCTGTAGTACGGGGAAACCTATTTCTTCCATTTGTTGGTCAATAAAAGGAAGTTCTTCAGCTAATACAGATTCATCACTGTCGCTAATGCCTTTTTTTCAAATTTATTACTAGATGTGAATTTTCTTCCTCCATACCTTCAATAATGTCACCCAGCTTCCATAATTTTTCTTCTTCCTTAATGACGTGTTCCACACATCTCTTCTAACGATCTTTTGTCTCACTTGTAATGCCCTCTTCCAAAAGATGTTTTACTTCAGGGAGCTTAAAGCTTTTATTATTAGAAGCAATGTAACCCTTGATCTGTGCCCAAATTAAGTTCGCAGTAGTACGGGGGCAGCCTCAAAACTGTTTTATTATGAAGCTTATGAAGCTTTGCTTCTTCATCAATGACGTACTTCATATATTTTGGCTTTTCTTTGTACGCTAGTTCTAGTAATTCTTTTTTAAGCAATGTCTTGTCAACGTTGATTCCTTTTGATACCAGCCACTCGACTAGTTGATCTTTATTCCAACATGTTGTTAGGAGTTTTCCTACCTTCACGGAATGATAAGGCACGTTGTCAAGCACAATCACACAGTTTTCTTTCAGATTTGGTAGAACTCGTCGAAACTGTTGCAGAATTACATCGTCATTCATTTCATTGTTGTTGGTAGGCCCCTTGGGATTTGATTGGAAAATCAATGATGTGTTGTCTACAAATCCATCTTCATTACCAAAATGAGAAACTATAAGACACCTACCTTTGCCGCTTGGATTTTCAACCCCCCTTGAAAGTCCATTTAGAAAAGCATCTTTTCTACTCTTGACTTCGCCATCAATCCAAACTTTATTGTTTGTTTGCCCTTCATTTACCCATGTTTCGTCTTGGTAGTATATTGGCCTGCCTTCTTCCCTAAACCTCTTGATAGATCGCAGATATTTCCTTCTCCAAAGAATGATATCGTCTCTATCGGCAAGGAACATATTTCTTCCCCTAGTGCTAAATTTGAAGCCTAACTGATTTAAAATACTGTAAAATGTTACTACGATTTATGCTATTTATACGTTTTATGTTTAAAACTTGGTAGATTGCTGTCTTCATTCACTGCAAACAATACTTTTTCTACTGTAGGCTGTTAATTTTTGAAGGAAAACTCATGCACCTTTCGTCTAATGGCACATTTAGTAGAGTTGTAAACTTTTTTTTAAGTACTTAGTCTTTTTTCTTATTTTCAGGAGATTTTAACCCTGAAACATGATCTTATTGTAGGCGGAAATTAATCTGTACACGCTACTTTTTCCCACTCCTACCATGGCGGAAACCTTTTTAACTGCAAAACTGTATTTTAAAATATTAGGGTTTTCAGATAAAATACTTTTGTAAACATTAAAAACTATGCACTGTTTCTTAACACTGTTTATAATTTGTCCACGTTTATTCCTACTCACTGGTGAAAGAGTCTCCATAGCTATAAAAATAGTCTTTGTGGATTAATATCATAAAATAATACCGGTATATGAAACTAATGTACAATCAACTAAATAAATGACGATAACTAACTAAAAAACGCCATTAAATAAAAATATACTGTACACTACGACTACCCAAAATATATCTTTATACAAAATCTTGTTATACAGGGTGTCCCGGAACTCTCTACCATTATTTTAGGGTATTGCTCCTGGGTAAGACACATACCTAAATATCATATTTAAATTGTCCGGAAGTCCTTAGTTGCTCACACAGCCGCCATTTTGTTTTTTTTCAGTTATTATTTTTTTTCTAAAGAATGGTTAAACATACGAAATGGAAACTTTGCACAAAGATTTGTGACAACTAGACAAAGCTACCAAAAAAGTTAGAAGATTTTTCAAATTCATAAAACAAAATGGCGGCCATTTAAAATTTTGTTTTTTAAATAACTCGAAAACCGTTGATTTTACAAAAATAACTTTTTTCAGGTAATTTCAATACAAATCGATTGACACCACGATTTATTAAGATTGGATGAGTATGAACTGAGATATGGCAATTTTAGTGATACGTGACCGCTGGAGGTTAGTTGCAGCGCATGCTGAAAGCGGTCACGTATCACACATAATAATTTAGCTTTACTGTGATATGCTACAAGTTAAGTTTTTTTCAAATAATAAAAATTCACAAAAATTAAATTTTAGAAAATGTAAAAAATGCCTATTTTTCAAAATTTTCAAACAGCAACATATGTCAAGTGCACATAATTTTATAGGTTTTTTAATTCTTAACAACTTTGTTATTTACACTTACAGTACGTCGTATCTCTTTTAGTTTTTAGCGAATTTAGGGAATAAGCTACTACCGTAGTACTCATGGTAAGACCTGGACCCGGGACCGATTTACTTTTTCGTTTTGAGGTCCCTAGAGACCAAAAACACCATCCGTTCAAATTCATATATATATATATATATATATATATATTTTTAACATGTGTCCGTTAGCGCGATAACTCAAGCAAAAGTCATCCGATTTTGATGAAATTTGGTACAAACGTGTAAACCTACGTTTATTCGAACGAGTTCGCGAACCAGCACGATCGGACTATGGGAACAGGGGTTTATGGGGGGTTTTATGGGATAAAAATTGGTTTTTCCCATTTTTTATCCTAAAAACTTAAAATTTAGCAATTTCTTTCAAAACCATTTTGTAGAGCTTAAAAAAACAAATAATTTAGTATATTGAAGCGTTAATATGCGCCTAATGGTTACGGAAAAAATTCAAAAAATCTGTAAATTTATAATTCCCATGTTATTCTTATGGAGAATAAGTAAACCGTTGTAGATTGCTTGTTTATGAATATATTTTGATCAAATTTGGAAAATGCATTAATTTCATACTAAAATATTACATTTTACAAAAAAACACCATTTTACCCTCCCTGTTGCAGCAAACCTAAGTACTTGTTAAACTAATGTTATTTAAATAGAGAATAAAAGTGATATTTTTAAGGAGACATTTTAGTGTAAATCCAATCAGCAAATGGAAATTCGCTTAGTCTGCAGGTATGCTGCAGCGGGGGTATTGTGTAAATAACAAAAAAAACACCATTTTACTATATCAAATGCATGTTATTTGGGTTTAACAATAATGGCCCTATTTCATTTAGTGTTAAACCAACATAACATCATTTGTAACGGAAAAGGATAATTATTGATTTCTGTTTTAGCCAAAATATTTGTCGACTAAATACCTTTCAAATGACGTATAACATGACATATGTTTACATTTAAAAATTCCGAGATTCGTACTAGTGACCCTCAGTTTTTGGCACACCCTGTATTGGAATTAAATATTTTTACGTTAATCCTTGGGGTCGATTTAGTGGAAACTAATTTTATTTAATCCTTGTACGTTAAGCCATTTTTCCTTAATCAATTTGAGACACCTTACGTGGGACACCCTGTATATAGATATGACCTCAGTTACTCTGTAAAGCTGTATTTCACTGAGAGGCATCCGTAAATTAATACATTTTTATTTATTTATATTTTTTTAACACTCAACAGTAAATAGCAAGGTAGCAAGTTATTTTGGCATACCTACTTTTAAGCTTAAGATGTTGCGAAGAAAAATCTTTGTGAATGTGGTTAGAGTTGTTCCAATGTGAGGATCAATAATTGAGGGAAGTGAATTGGTCTAGTGGTGGAGCACGGGGCTTCCAAGTCTGAGGTTCCGGGTTCAAATCCTGCCAATCACCAATGGATCTTATCTATGCAATAATGCTACAACCCTCTAGGACTAGCCTGAAGTAATATGTAAAACAGTTTTGGGTTAGAAGCTAGCGTCCTAGGATGTGAAGATAGGACGGAAAAAAGAATGTAAGGATTAAGAAACCCTCGAACATTTTAGTTTAGGTACACCTATTTTACAAAATTTCGTTCAATTGTCAGGTAAAGCTATCTAACAATTGAGATTAACAATTTGAGATTGTTGGGTTTTCATTCAACAACTTCTAGTTATTGCTCTTTTAATAAATTTTATCTCAAACTTGAGTATTTGTTCAAGTTCCTCAGATATACCAGGCATTAAAAGTTTAACATTTAACTATTGCCTAATTATTTGCCGTTCTGGTAAACTAAATCCCTTTATGAAACATTTCAATGGCGACCTAAAAATTGCTTCTCGTCTTCATGCCACATGGTGCCTTTTTATGGAGAATTTGCAAAAAACACTGACCTTTCACTAATTTAATTTAATAATTATCCACTTTTCAAATTTTTGATAATTAATAAATAGAAAATATGATTTTCTTGTTAACCAATGTAAGATGTCCACTCCCGTGTATCTACAACCCTTGGCTAAACACTGGAAAATATAACACAGACAAACAATTAATATTTTTATTTTGTTAGAAATATCCTTCAAAATTCAATTTACATAGGAAGTCATTATTACAGACAATTAATTAATAGTTTGGTTTTCATAAAAAAAAAACTATCACAATTTTGAAATCCCTAAATACTGTTGTAAGAGTCAAATGAGAAAACTTAAAAAGTATAATACAAGTATGAACAAAAATATTTATGTTGATTATACAACTCCCATAGCTGGATCAAATTTGGCTTTAAACTAATACAAGGGTCAATTAACAATATGGGACTATCCTAAGGGGCGCCTTAGTTACAATTTATAAACATTAAAATTCCTTTTAAAAGTTTCAATTACAGAGTAAGCCTTATGTCATGATAGCAACGATTGCATTGCATATGGCCGGTGGTCTAAAAGAAACAGGAATGCAGTTATTTGTTAGTTGGAAATTTCTGTTAGTACGCTGTATCTTGTATATGTCTTTACAGTTTATAAAAACTATTTTGCTTACTCGATTAGTGAATCATTCACACTTAGTACAAAATATAACATACAGTACATCATTTTATAAGATGGCTATTGATGGATTAATCTTCGTCCAAGCATTGGTTAAAATATTATCAAAACGTTAAGAGATTGTTAATGGGTTCAAACTTTATGGTCTATTAATAAAAATCAGAGGAAATATCTTAAGCACTCTTTATTTGAGGGATGTTATGCTTCTTCAAAGGATAACAAATGCCACAAATGTTTTTTCAATCAAAGTAGATAACAAAATATCATTAACTCAAATATAATATAGTGTTGAATTGAGCACTAGTCATCCCAACACCTTTACAAATGCACTGCACTGTAACTAAAAAGAGGGGTTCCACAGTCCAACTTACGCTTGGTAACATGTCTAAAACACCACATTCATAGTGTGATGTTGCGAATAAATTCTTAACATTCTTGAGCGTAAAAGACACAACAAATAATTTATGAATTAAATACTTACATTATATAATTTAAGGATAAAAATTGCATTGCAAACTTAACACCGTTTGCCATCAGTCTAAAAGTGGATACTGGGCCATTCCAGCACCAAAGGCCCTCCACTTGCAAAACCCAATTATAAGATATACATGTGGTAGAACATATTGACCTAAATGTTAATATACTCCAGTAACCACTGAAACTTATTTGCATTAAATTTAGCTTTGAATTCATTGTCTGAAGCAAATGAAACTAACTAATATTTACTTGTATGTGGTAGTTAATAAACATTTATGCTGATAGACAAGTTAGGTCATTATATTAATTTATAATAATTACAATTAGGAGTTACATCATGGAGGGTTAAACTACCCTACTCTAAAGTGGTTAATCTTAAGTTAACTTACAATGTAAAGCACAATGAGTACGAAGTTACTACTAAAAATTATAATCTTATAAAATTATAATCTTACATTTTTGCTGAAAACCTTCTACTTAGCAATTATTAATGTGATAAAATGTGATCATTTACAAAATAAACTGATAATTTACCGTGGTCATAATCGTTTTGAAATTCTAAATTGGGTTGTTAATTTTTAAAGCTATTGCATTTAGGGTCTCTAACTATTTGTAATATTCAAGAAATCACAAAAGTTTAAAACTCAACTGAGTTATTTAATTGAAATTACTGACAATTACATGTAAAGGAGTCTTAGTTACTATATAAATGCACATTACATGAATACAATTTCTATCACAATGTGTTAAAATAGTAAATTGTGCCCCTTTTAACCATTACTGTATTTTTATAATGGACAGACAAACCTCCCCTAAATACTATGAATATTTGTTTAAAGTATTTAAACTATCAAAAAGGCCCAGAAACAGGTGAAAATAAATTATTATTGCTGTTGACAATCAATAGATACTTGATTTCGGGATATGGATCTGGACAACAAAGTTGTATGCAAGTTTATTGTCCTTAAATCCCTTCAATTGCACGTTTAGGGTCATTGAGACGTTTGGATTGTGCCTTTGTTCATCCAAGGTTTGCCTGTACTGTAAGATGAAAACTGTTTTGTCTAGTTTAGGGTCTTTGAAATTTTTTTTACACCCTTTTAACTTGTTCTCCAACATCTCTTATATGTGAGGTGATAGTTTACACATTTTCATATTTTTGACTTGTAAATTTTAGCACTCTACAAAATACAATTACTCTTAAATTGGTAAAATATAAATAAACATCACAATGCTTTTAATGATTTTAGCGACAAGTCACAAGTTAAGATGTTCTTGATTATCTTATGGTCGTAACAATACATAGAGGGTGAACGCTGATGCTAGTAGTAGAGCGGAGGCTTTGTGAATATCTTCTGCCGAGTTCTGAATGATAGTGTAGTGAAGGTCATCGTGAATTTCTTCAGTGTCTAGTTGAAGATGTTGTTGACTGTTATCATCCACATTGTTGGTTGACATCATCGGCTTGCTTCCACTCTTCTCTTTGGGTGATCCAGGACCAATGTGCACTAAAACATCAACCATACATACATATCTGAGCAGCTAATTAATGTTACCCTGACGGGATTTGTGTCTTGATCTTTGTTTAAATGGGACATGTTTTTAGCTGAAAATTTACTTGAAATATTCTGTTTTTTTTTTTCTATAGTAGGGACCAAAAACTTGCTAATGATGGATTTCTGATATCATCTGGGTATCTGTTTAAAAAAATTTGCTAATGCTAAGAACGCTGTAAAATAAATATAATTTTAACCTGCTTTTCAAATGCAGGACGACATACAAACGTCGGAGCATGTGGCAGTCCTACTAGAGGGAATATATTATACAACCTGCTCCAGAGTACCTCAAACCTTGCATCTCAATATACATAAAATATGAATCATATTAAATGTTGCCACTTCTTTAGCAATTATGATAATTGTTTTTTAATCCCTCACCTTTATCTAATAAGCTTTCCTCCTTGTAGTTGACTTTGTAGAATGATGATATTGTGATCTCAAACACTTTGTTGGGATCAGGAGGCATATCTCTCACTTCTCTGCGTCTGCGTCCGTAACCAATCTGGCCGTTGCTGCACTCAACCTAGTGTACACATCAAATGTGAACATAAATACAGGGGAAACTACTAAATGATGTAACATAGGCTGTAATGGTAACAGTGATGTAACGTAGGCTGTAAAGGTAACAATGATGTAATATAGGCTGTAATTGTAACAATGATGTAACATAGGCTGTAATGGTAACAATGATGTAACATAGGCTGTAATAGTAACAAAGATGTAACATAGGCTGTAATGGTAACATAGATGTAACATAGCACAAGGGCTGACGTCTCAATGATTGTTGGAATATAGTCCATCCTGACATAACAAACACCAAAGACTGTACACAATGTATTTAATAATTAGAATCTGAGGTGCCCATCCCTCCCCCATTTCATAATTAAGACACCTTTCTTCACCCACATTAACTTACCCGCCTACCCCTTGCCATACCAAAACAAATTTTTCAAGGATTAACTAACAAATTTATAAATTATAAACAACAAAATAATTACAACAAGACAGTATAGAATACAAAAACACACACACAAATATTAATTGGTGTATATGTTAAATTTTGGTTGTTTTTTGTGTGTGTTGAATAAAATATAAAAAAAACACTTTCAATACAAACCAGTTTGTTAGGAACATTTTGTTTTCCTCTACAAAATTATAGACATGAAATAGTCATGTTATTTTGTTAGTTTTTAAATTATGAAATAGCCATGCTTGTTAAAGAAGGTCTTTTCACCCAAACCAGATATAGTGATAGTCAATAGCCATTTTTATATAGCCACACATGGACAAACGCAAGTCCAGATAGCCGCTTTGGGACAGGATGAAATGTAACTATTTCCTCCCTGCGTCTTCTTCTGACAATCTGCCTGGTTGTGTAGTGTATACAATAATAATGTACCATAATGTTGCCATTTTTACGATATTTAGATTTGTGTTATAAAGAGTTGGCAATATGTTTTGCATTTGTGTCCTGACTGCGATCAGGGGACTGTGACGTCATATCGTATGATTTCAATAAAGCTCCCGGATTGGCTACAACCCATCACGCCACTTTTCCCTCCACGTTTAACCGCCGATCCAAAAGTTTCCTTGCTCTCCAGTCCTCAAGATTCCAGCAAACCGTAACCATGTAGTCGGCCGGGTTTTATTTAATTCCCCAAATGGTGTTTTATTTCAAGTCATTGCACCCCAAACGTTCCAGTAAAGATATCATTACTGTATACCTTGATCACGGCGAAAGTAAGAGTATCTCTCACGATCACAAAGAAATTGTGTTATTGCAAGGAACAAATGTTCATTATGAATGGCTAAATCATGTTGATAATATGTTAATAAAGTCTTATCAATATAAAAAACTGTTTAGGGCTACTTATAAAAAAAACTGTAAATTAGCAATAGCAATATGTGCAAAATATAATCCCTCTTCCAAAAACCCCAGTAGCGCAAATGCCTTTGCCCCTCTGGGCGCCCCTGATTAAAATATTTCACTGTGGCCATTGGACTTTAAGACATTTTTTACTACTCAAACCTCCTGTGATTGAAAATGCTTTCAGAGTGAGTAAAATATCAGAATTATTATGTGCATAGTGTAAAGTTACTGCGTTTCTTGTGCCACGGTGGATTTTTTTCCCAATCAGGTAAGCATGATATCCCGTCAAAACAACCCTAAGCATTACGAGAGTTTAATCTAGAAGTTAAATATACATTTTTTCTCCCAGGCCATGAGACAGTGGAGGGGAAGCTACAAGTTGAGTTGGCTTAGGTACCAAACACCTGTTGGGCCTTTTTAACATTATTTGTAAAATATCTTGACTTTAGTTTCTAAAACAATGTATATTCTTAACTTCATTTTGATTGTAAAAATGTCTAGCAAATCTTCCATCCACCAAAATTTTATCATAATTTTTATTGTATTTTCTTCAACATATAAGAAACAAAAATAATAATCCCAAATAATGAAACTAATAATATGAATAAAAAATAATGGAACCCAGAAATAAGAATACATTTTTATTCATTGGAAAGGTTTTAATTATTTTCTTTCGATCCTGAAGTAATAATTAAAACCTTCAAGTATTTTTTGTTTGACATCAGGAGTTCTATTTTAGTTGAGTTGTTTAAAAAATATGAATTTTGTGTAAAAGTAGCTAGGTTTAAAACTAAAGTGAGGGATGATGTTAATCATTGAAACTCTTCATCACTAGTTGGAGGTTTACTCTCTTCAAAATCCATCAAGCTCTTTGGCCTCCGATATGTGTTCATAAATAAACTTGAGTTTGATCAAGTGTACATATACTTACTCCTCGGCACTTATCCAAGCACACGTTGACTGTGCCCTTGAACTGAACATATGTTGATTCTGGGAACTTGAAAGCCCGGAACTTGGCTGTGAGGAAGTCACCATCTACTGAGTTGAAGTTTTCAAAGAGATAAGGGTCCATTGAGCATCTGTAAAATATTATCTTTAAATATGTATTTGTTGTCTTTAAACCCAGTCCCCATGATTATTAGACTCGAACATTGATAGGCGCATTACAGTGGCGGCAATAGCGGGCTATGGGGGCCCGTGAGCCTTGACAGGGATTCTTCGGGAAATTTTACCGGGACACGGGCCCGCGATTCTGCGACATGCTCAGCCACACGGGCCCCCTATCATATCTTTTATCTATTACAATATTTACCTAACATAGCATGAGAATTACCATATGTTTTTATAAAGAAAATTTGTTAAAACCTGTAAGATCACTAAAACAATAAGTTTACAACAGCTAATCTGACACTATTATGCTATTACTTGACCGATCACTATAAATTCTCTACCAACCTAAGTAAGAATTGTCATCAGTCATGCAGGTTGCAATAACTGTCATCGTGGACTATGTGAATGCGCTATAATAGATAATAGTGCCTTATTTAGAATGAATTTGGCTTCTGGCCTACGAGGATAAAACAATAATGTTAATCGTCCTAGCCCCTGGCGGGTCACACCAGAGAGGGCCCTCTATGCTGATTAACTAAATGACAATTTTTTTACTATCAAATTGGCGAATTAACCTAGGTGGCTAGTAGGACACTAGGTAAAAATAATTCCGTTCTTTCATTGATGCTAAAGAATGATTTTAATTTAATGTAATTTCTTACTATTAACTTAGAAGGCTGCACTTTGTTTACTTCAAGTCATGTAAAAATTGTTACTTACATATGGGCTTTGGGCCAAATCAGATCGGTTCAAAATCGGGTTTGCTTTGAAAACTGTTCATTTTTATATAATGTCGATTTTTGAGCCGAGCAGAGCCTGGCCTATAAGCTGAGAGATCAAGCACAAAGTCAGAAAATCAAGCTCAAGCCGATTTTCTCAATACTCAATATAATATGCCCAATTAAAAGTAAAAGCTTTTATGTCCGCGAGGATCATGTTCACGAAATTGAAATATTAGGCCTACGCTTTTGCCGCGATCGCGGATATCTACAAGAACATTTCTCCGCGGGTGACAATGACGATGTTTTAGCGACTATAGGAGATGCTCAATATTTTGCCATGATTGAGGAAGACGATAATGACGTTTCTTTTTCCGCGAGAGATATATCTAGTATTTTGCTACGAATGTGCCTCGGTGCCTCGGGAGATGCCGTGCCAAGCTAAAGTGCAAGTTTAGGTGGTAATACATGTGATGTTTTTAAAGATTATTGGGAGAGGGGGGCCCGGCGAACAAACTTGCGGGGGGCCCGTGGGCTCTTATTGCCGCCACTGGCGCATTACATTTACTTACGTTTTCAGGTTGAAGCTGAATAAAAACTATGAAGAGTTTAAAATATGGATATTTTATTTAGAGAGTAATCCCACTCAGTAAATGTTGAATAACACATGTAACAAATTAAATACATTCTCTCGTAAAAACAAAATTTGGTGGAAAAAGGACAACCAATTAGTAATAATAACTTGCTGGATAATGTTTTAACATATTTAATTGGGTTATAAAAACCTGCCTTTCACCCATACATAACTAAATTTGGTTTTTGCTTGAACCTGGATATTCTTGCTTGAATTGTTAAAAATATTTAATTAAAATTCTGCTAAACTTTCTTTTTTACATTATTTGGTCAGAGAAAATTAAATTTGATTAATTGAAAATTTATAGGTCGAGTGTTAACAACTAAGGTAAAGGAAAATCTATGGATCACAAACCAGTCAACTATGGATTTCAATGGGGATTGACCCCCTTCTCCAGAAATCTTATCAAAGAATTTAAAGAAAAGAAAGCAAATCGTACTTGGTAGGAGTGTTGATTTCCCAATCCATTGTTTTAGGCTCATGGCCCCCACATTTAATTGTGGGCCCTGTTACCAGGATCTGGCTCGGGCCCCCCTACCAACCGGGGGGTCGGGGGGGTATGGAATACCCCCCAGCGTAGAGGGGGGGTCCGGGGGTCCCCCCCCGGGAAAATTTTGAAAATGTCATGTATTTTAGTGAGTTTTTAAGGCAATCTAGGTATTAAATTTGTGAGTGGTAAATGGCACTTTTGCAGCCTTTTTTAAGGAAGAAAAGAGTTCTTCAATGAGTTTTATAAGACTTAAAATTACAGGAATTCAGCAATTAAAACTATTATATCAATACACAAAAGCTCCATGCCTATTAATATTTTGTCCTTTTTATTTCCCTGTAAGAGGGTTTGGCTATCTTAACTGCTATAATTGTACTTTGTAATATGGAGTAGGAAAAAACTTACGTAAATTGAGTTTAACAGCTTACACCAATGAAATCATATTTTATTCAGTGACAATTTTCATCAAGAATTTTAACAATACTACATTTTTTGGGAGTGGATGCCTGAGCTGCCGAACTTGCGCCGAGTAGTCACGGAGAAAAACAAATGTGCACGAGTAATGCCGAGAATGACCGATGCTATCCAATCCATGCTTTAGTACAGTATTATACCAAGCAAATTGGGAAGAAAACTTAGGTCAAAATTATTAGGCCTACAATCTTTCATATTTTTAAAACTCCAAAAGTAAAGAATTTTTAAGTTTGTGTCAAATAACCTAGATTGCAATAATTATTAATTGAAATATTCCATACATAAAAGTGCAACCGGGACCAAATGTTGATAAAACAGGACAAATAAGCGTCCCGAGAGGATTTGTCGGGACGGACCAGTCCCCCTAAAACGGGACGTCTGGTCACCTTAGCTATGGTACATAGTACATGTCAATTTTTCAATGCTTTACAAATTTTATTTTAACTTATAACTATAAGGATTCATTCTTGAAACTATCAGTTCAATTATAAAACCAAACTTTGTTTATTATGGGGGGAATGAGGTAGGATTGGCTAGGCGCCTGGCGGGAGGAAGGGGTAGAGGGAGTTTGTGGAGCCGGCCACTGGGGCCCGAGCTGGCTGTTCTGCTGTTGTATAGTACATACGCACCTACGCACCTATAGAATTTAAATATAAACTTCCTTAGAATCAAGAATTAATACATTTTAAATTATTTAACTTTGTTTTTTGTAAAATATTTAAATATTATTTTTTTATCTTCAATTTATGAGCTGTAAAGTGATCTTCAATGGGGAAAAAAAATAAAAAACAAATGGGTAGGCCCGGGCCCCCTGAGGGCCCGGGCCCTGTGACCAGAGTTGCGCCAGCCCCACCCTTGTGGGGGCCATGATTTAGGCTACTATGACAAGATTCAGTGTCACGTAGAGGTGGGAACTTGCTAGAACAGTAGTGGGAAATAAAGCATACAGAGCTCAGGTTAAATTATGATTAGCTCGCTTGTCTGCGACGGAAGCTCTTAGGGGACCTGAATCTACAGACAAGCTTTACATTTCTTTGCACTCAACTATGTACATTACTCTAAATCAACATAAAATTATATAGCGATGAAATAGATGGTTAAAGTCCCACAGTAAGTATTTGCTTTGTTTGAAGTTAATTTTTGGTGACAGCAAGTTTCCATTATCTGACATAATAATTACAAGCATTCCCCAACAACATTAGTAACGAAAACAATGTTTTCATGAAGCTACGGGTTCTGGATTCTAGGGTTCTACTAGGACGCTTGGCATGAGCCTGGGATTGTTTTTCACATTACTTCAGGCTAGACCTAGGGGTTGCGGCATTATCACTAAGATCTCCCACGTCCTCAAGTGTAGAAGTATTTAAAACATTAGCTACCTACATGTAAATAAACAACAGAAAAAACAATAAAAACCACTGTGTGGTAGTCAAACACAAGTCCAATAAAAACAGGAAGGCCTCAAATAAAAACTCTTGAATAAAACAATATGATTGTAACACTATAGAAGAGGTACACACATACAGTAGTTGTATGAGATTGAGGGTATGCAATTAAGTATATAAGAAACAAGCATAATTTATTGGGAGAGCACACATAGACACGTCTGCACAAGGGGTTTTATTTAAGGGCTATTATGTTTTTATTTTGATTGCACTAGTGTTTGACTACTATTCTGTTCTGTGGTGGTGTTTATTGTGTTTTTTCCAGCTTTACTGTGCTTTACTTTGTACTTTCTTCTATTTGTGTTAAAAAATATAATAACCACCTAAAAGTGCCTATGTAATTTGAAAAATAAATTGTTGTTTTCTTGTAATGTTATAAATATTTTCTCACCGGATGACGGGGTCGGATTCAGATCCCAAAACGTCAAAAGATTGTTTTTTTTGCTAATCCGCAATAATCTGTCTGGCAATAAGTATTTGTAATATAGCATTTCATATTTTATCTGACATACCCATTGAATATGATGGTTTCCTCCTGTTGTTTGGTATCGGTGACCTGCATATACGAGACTAGTAGTCCGTAGATAGGCGCACTCTCCTTGTCCAGGTATATCTCCATCTGGAGGGGGGTACCGGGGTTAACATTGAGCTCCCCGGAGACCAGTTGCCCTCCCTGTCTGACCCCCACCTTGAGCTGGGGCTGTGGCGCCTGCTCCACCACGGATGTCGTGATGTCTATGTGTCTACATAAATCAATTATGTAAGCGAGAAAATATTGGTTTAAGACACCTTATATATGTTTTTAAATTCTTCTGAAACCTTAAAAGTGTGTCAAAAACAGATTTGAATAAAAACCTGCAATTTTCAGTGTTGGTAATTTTTGATACAAGTAGAGTACCTAATTTTTCTCTATACAATGTTGGTACATTGTATGTAGCCACCATCCAAATTAACAGTCTTATAGCTAAAATAAAGAAAACAAATCACAAAACATACTATTAGCAGCCTAATTATGAACGAGTCAGCACGGATCAGTAATGGAATTGATGACATAGTTGTCACAAGCGGCAGGCATAGTCATTGACATGGTGTTTGATCCTAAAGAATATACAGCCATAACAATTTGCATCCTATAAAACTCTACCTTATACCAAAGAGAATATGGGATGGATGACACAGGAAGGCAATCTAGCATCAACTGTATAGAAAACCAAAAAAGGAAGAAAACTGATAAATTTCGTTTAAAAAATCACAACATTAAAATAATACAGAAAAATTATGTAATTAAATTAATTTTGAGCATTTAAAAAAATTAACTATGTAATTATGATGTCCGTTCCACATTTTAATTGGAATATAATATATATATCATGCAGTACTTGCAATTGCAATGCTGTATCAGTGACGTAGCCAGGATTTAAAAATGGGGGGGGGGGTCGACCGACCTCCCAGTCGGGTAGTAGGGAGGTCCGGGAAAACTTTTGAAGATATAGGCCCCAACACGGTCTTTTAGCTCTCCTGGCTTTTAAAATAAACAACCCCAACGTCAATACAGTATTATTATATAATTTATATCATTATTTTAATATAATTGTACGTTTAATTTAACAAAAAAATATTATATTTAGGACCCGAAGGAGAGCCCCCCTGACTACGTCACTGGCTGTATTTTATAAAAGCACCACAGTAGCTGATGTGGCCAAAATGTATCACTGCTCAACTATTCAGTAAATACAACCAAACATTGGTGGTTTTTGTGAGTATGTAAAAAGTAATGATGGAGGACAGGTGATGTTTAGAAACAGGAAGTCTGACTGTGAGAATACATTGACAATGACAAAGCCTAGAACATTGTGTGGGTTGAGAGAGACTTGTCTCTTCGCACACATCTAAACTTTCTCACACCATGACAAACATAACAACCACACGGACAATTGTACAACAACTGGATTACAGATAGGTAACTGTTCATCTAAATATACATACACTAAGTGTTAGTCAGATTCTGTTTTGCAACGCTACAAATTTGAGATCATTTTTAGGATAGTTACTGTATTGGGACTATAGAAACACACAAACACATGTTAATGATATCATAATTTGACCAAATTGTGTCAAAAACAATTCTAGGGATCCTAAAACAAAGAAGCACAGTACCCAAGTCTTTACATGAAGACCACATAATAACTACTTTCCTAGAAGTAAGTTTGTGCTTTGATGTGAAGTTATATATTGAAAAACTTAATCATAATGAATCAGCTTCCTGTGTGATATAGTAAACGCTGAATTAAATCAATTTGCCATTTGTTTACTTATAAAATCATAATTCCAAAGTCACATTTGCTAGAGAAGTAATCTATTCTTTGTTCAAAGTTTTTTTGCTGATGATATTTTTTTTCTATACACACATCAGCTACAGAGCTGCAAATGGCGCCACTCTTTTCACAAGTGATATCAGTAAGTGGCAATGTGACTCGTTTTGGCATACACACAGAAGAAGAAGAAGCTATACACACAAGCAGCCCTTAGTTAAAAAAAAAAAAAAAAAAAAAACTAGGTACCCTTGTACTTCCTTTACCCCCTGATTTGCATTAATGCCCCAATGCCCCCGATTTAAGGTGGCCAAATCATTCTTGGGAAAAACTGGGACATGTATATTTGTCCCTCTCCCTGAGCCTGCCCTCTAGCCTAAATCTAAATGTGCCCAGGTTGTAAATTAATTGTTGAATTAATGAATTGTGATCTACTTCCATTATGATTTTATATATTTCCATAAATTGTTTATTTGCTTTTGGGATTTCTAAGCGTCTAATCAAATTTTTGGAACACCTTATTGTATGACAAAACGAGTAAATTCAGAAAATTCCAGTTTTCCGGGAGATTTGGTCACCCTGTCCCATTTACATAGTGAAAAGTAACAACTCACTCGGGCTCCTGAAACCCTGCAGGCAGGACATTTCTCCTGTGTACAGTATGGGTTTGGTTTGTTGGAGCCACCACACACTTGACTGGGACCATCATTTTCCCATCTTGCCTGGTCTCGATCACTACACTGTGATAGAATGTCTCTACACCCTGCAACAGACATGATAATTTGTCAAATCTTTAGGTTAAATACCCTGTGGATGCAAATCAGTGCTTTCCTTGGAAAACAAACAATTTAAACAAATTTACAAGAAATGATGAAAGCTAAAAATTATGATCTGTCACGGATGTCAGATTAATCCTGATACTTATTTTTTGTACAAATATATCAAGGTTCAGATCTAATACTTATGAGAGTATTCCAACAGCAGTTTCTTCCAAGGTACGAATTCCATAGCTATTTTCAAATTTATGTAATGTTAGAAAAAAGGTGACTCAACTTTCAGGTAAACCGTACGTACGGAACTGTTGGTGTAGCTGCTCCACTATACTATATGAGTTTTTTAACACAAATAAGTTGGTTTTAGGATAAATGCTAATAATTTACCATTCCAATGGAAAAAATTTGGGTTTTGTGTGTCCACTACTCCATATGATTGAAACCTATGATTTATGGACATGGTGATTGTTTACCATAACACAAGATGAATTAATATAGTGTGGAGTGAAGTGTTTTTTGTGCTCACTACTACATGTGATGGGTTTCGTCACAAATTGACAGAATTCTAAGGTATGATTCATGGCCCCCACATTTAATTGTGGGCCCTGTTACCAGGATCTGGCTCGGGCCCCCTACCAACCGGGGGGTCGGGGGGGGTATGGAATACCCCCCAGCGTAGAGGGGGGGTCCGGGGGTCCCCCCCCGGGAAAAATTTGAAAATGTCATGTATTTTAGTGAGTTTTTAAGGCAATCTAGGTATTAAATTTGTGAGTGGTAAATGGCACTTTTGCAGCCTTTTTTAAGGAAGAAAAGAGTCCTTCAATGAGTTTTATAAGACTTACAGGAATTCAGCAATTAAAACCATTATATCAATACACAAAAGCTCCATGCCTATTAATATTTTGTCTTTTTTATTTCCCTGTAAAAGGGTTTGGATATCTTAACTGCTATAATTGTACTTTGTAATATGGAGTAGGAAAAAAACTTACGTAAATCGAGTTTAACAGCTTACACCAATTAAATCATATTTTATTCAATGACAATTTTCATCAAGAATTTTAACAATACTACATTTTTTGGGAGTGGATGCCTGAGCTGCCGAACTTGCACGAGTAGTCACGGAGAAAAACGAATGTGCATGAGTAATGCCGAGAATGACCGATGCTGCCGATGCCGATGCTATCCAAATCCATGCTTTAGTACAGTATTATACCGAGCGAATTGGGAAGAAAACGTAGGTCAAAATTATTACAATATTTCATATTTTTAAAACACCAAAAGTAAAGAATTTTCAAGTTTGTGTCAAATAACCTAGATTGCAATTATTAATAGAAATATTCCATACATAAAAGTGAAACCGGGACCAAATGTTGATAAAACGGGACAAATAAGCGTCCCGAGAGGATTCGTCGGGACGGACCAGTCCCCCTAAAACGGGACGTCTGGCCACCTTAGCTATGGTACATGTCAATTGTTCAATGCTTTACAAATTTTATTTTAACTTATAACTATAAGGATTTATTCTTTAAACTATCAGTTCAATTATAAAACCAAACTTTGTTTATTATGGGGGGAATGAGGTAGGAGTGGCTAGGCACCTGGCAGGAGGAAGGGGTAGAGGGAGTTTGTGGAGCTGGCCACTGGGGCCCGAGCTGGCTGTTCTGCTGTTGTATAGTACATACGCACCTACGCACCTATAGTATTTAAATATAAACTACCTTAGAATCTAGAATTAATACATTTTAAATTATTTAACTTGGTTTTTTGCTAAATATCTATATTATTTTTTATCTTCAATTTATGATCTGCTGTAAAGTGATCTTCAATGGGGGAAAAAAGAAAAAAAATGGGTAGGCCAGGGCCCTCTGAGGGCCCGGGCCCTGTGACCAGAGTTGCACCAGCCCCACCCTTGTGGGGGCCATGGTATGATTAGCTGATGAGAGATGGTTGTATTTACCGTCAGTTTGTTGAGAACCCTGGTGACACCACACTGGAACACATTGTTGAGTGATAGCATGAGAGTGACTTGGTTGCCATCAATGTGCGGCTGGCAAGCTGGATCTGAACACATCCACATGGTCAGCACATATGTTTAATTGATTTTATAAGTACTATTACAGGCAATGTATATGTTTTGAACACAAATGGATTGTGATCAAATGAAAAACACAGCTTACTCTAAGAGGGTAATGATTTCACTCCAGGGCTTTAAAATTTTTTGTCAAAACAGTTTCCTGAAAAAAAAAACAACAAAAATATATACATCTAATAACATTTGTAATAATATATTTACACTTATACTGTTGACTTAAGACGGTAAATGCATATAAAAGTTGGTAAGTGGTGATCGATTTCGATTGGGCACTCCCAATCATCATCAGACCCAATATAATTCCCCTATTGGGTCTGATGATGATTGAAGTGCCCAATTGAAATTGATCACCACTTACCAACTTTTGTATGTATTTACCGTCTTGTAAGTCAACAGTATAAGTGTAAATATATTATTACAAGTGTTATTAGACGTATTATTTTTTCAGGCAATTTAATAACACGTACGATGCTGATCAAGAAGTTATTCAAAACAGTTTCTTAAACAAATGTATAAGTTGTAACAAATCAAAACTATCAGCTTGTAATCAGATTCATCCCGTCCACAACTTGGTATTATTTTGCAAAAAAACCTCAAGTAAATTACTAAAATTGATGTATCTTCATGATTTTTCTGAAATGATGTGGTTAAGTTTCAGCTTCATCTTAAGAGTGAAAGTTTTTAATTCATCTCAACACTAAATAACACAAGTATCCTTCATTGGAAACATTTTTGAATGATCTCATTTGTAATTCAAATAAATTACAAATCCATACCATTGCCCTCATGTAATATTAAACATTTGGTTTACAGTCAGATACCAACACAAAGTATTGTGAAGTCAAAAACCTTTTGTTATAGGGACAAATTGAAACCTAGTGAACTAAATGACAGCATCCACTGTTTAAGTAAATCATTCTTGATTACCTGGGTAGTGTTTGAGCTGATCCCAATATATATCTGTCATCTCATCGGGTTTTCGGATCTCCACGAGCATTGCATCCTCTAAACATCTCACTTTGTATTGTACTGAAAAAAACAAAAACATAAAAATGAATATAATTTACAATAAAAACCAAAAAGTAAATTTCATATTTCAAATTCATTAAACATTTTGGGTTCATTTTTATTTCAACCAAACACCAGCAGTTACCATATTTTCACAAGAAAAAAAATCAAGCAATCAATCACACCACTCTCTACTTATTATCTACATACACGTAGTAAATTCAACAAAGACAATTAACCTATGTTATTTTCAAATTCTGTACATTAAGTCTTAATTAAATTAAAATATACAATACGTTATACGTTTTGTCACCTTTTTTAGTGTCTTCACATAATCTATTTTATTAATATAGTTTAACCTTAAAATTTAATTTTTTTGTTTCTAAGCTTTTCAGTAAAATTATCATGTTAAAAGTATTATACAAGATACTTGATAATAATTGTAACTGAAAAGCTCAGAAACAAAAAAATATACCTAACCCCTGAGTGTAATCAATACTGAATTAAAAAGTTAACTAAATAGAGTTCTATCCAATACCAATAATACAGGCTATTCTAATATGCCTTCAATAATTCATATTCTTCTGAATAATCATCATGATATTTTAAGATTCCTAACGAAAAGTCTGTGTCCACATAGTGAACGATGTTAGGATGGTAGGATGGTAGGATGGAAGTGCGTGTGATAAGGTAGAGCGAGAATGCAACTCCTGGAGTGAGAAGGGTTCAGTCTTATCTGAGAGACATGAGCCACAAATCACCACCACAATTACGTTTCTTACTCGCCGATATAAAGAGCCACTGTCGTGATACGTCATTGTCACATCAGAGGTAATATAAATCTTGTTCAATTAGCCAAGCATGCTCTCGCTCTAGGGAATTACACTCTCTTGCTAGGAATCCGATACAATTAAAACAACTACCGTGACCATCTCGTACGATTTGTACAGCTAATTGGGACCGGGGATACACGTAAATAAGAGTGACTTAATATCTGGCTTTGCCTTGGCACAAAACGTGTTTAATTAAGGCCTTGGTGATCGATGTGGTGGAACATCATATAGAGGCCGCCTACCGACTACACTACATACACTAGTGTGATGGGTACAAGAAGTAGCCACGACTGAGGTCGAGGTTGTCTAGCTACTCTCTTGTTTACTTAAGCTTGGAAAAGCCCCACACTATGTGTGCGCAATACGGAACTCCCAGCGCAGTGCAAATTATGCAGAACAATTGAATCTTCCAAAAAAAGGCGGCATTTCACTATGGCTCACATAATTTGTTTGGTAAACCTTAATTGGTAAACATGAGTTCTCGACTTCGACGCGAGAAAAAACTAACGATATTGTTGCTATTCGTAGGGGAAGACGAGATTGAAAACTAATACTTGCAGAGGGTCCAATGATTTTCTCTAGACGACGAGGTAAAATTGATCATTTAAATGTCCATAACTAAGGATTATAATGTTTTTAAACTCCTTATGCTACATTCCACAATAATGGAAAGGTAATCGCCCAACATAACAAGCTTTTCATTTTGACTACTCTGTTTACACAGTCATTCAAACCTAGAAACAACAGATAACTGCCCAAGCAACACTAGGAAAACCTACAAATATATGAAGCATTTTGTGATCAGCAATTAATTGAGAAAATTGAGGGAACCGCGCCGTTGCGCACCGCTGAGGTGTTTCAGAAATCTGCTGAATTGGATTTTGTCGTTCATAAGTGGGCTAGAAACCCCTAGCTTTACTAAAAAAAAAGAAAAAAGAATAATAATATATAATTAAGCAAAACAATTATATATTTAATATTAATAGAATTACTATTTAAAAACACGTGTTGTTTTGGGATATTAGCAACCGTAATATTCACTCGATCCAAATACAGATGTGTCTAGTAAATCTTAAATTTTGAGGCCTGTCAGAGATTTGTATACGTGTTAACTTATTTCTATAATATGTTTTTCTCTCTTTAGCTTTTTTTTTGTGGGCTTAAGGTAACTTTTGGCATCTGTACACAGTAACACACATACACATTTGTCACCCCTGTTTTGAAGCCTCTTGAGAATGTTTCGTGGTACACTTATTGTGGGTCTAAAACATTTATCCATTAAAATTTACTATAGTGATTGCTATATCAGTGGTTATCAGACTAGAGTATATGCGTTTAGAAAAAACTTAAAACCAATCAATGAAAGCTAGCTCCTTAATTAAACTGTAACATTGCAACTGGTACCGTACCGCTCACAACATAAGAAACCTACGATAATAATCGGATAACAATAGTCCGTGTTTTAGTTATCCAATGACATCAGGCATGCGACCTCATCGACGAAGCGGAAAGCCTTTATACCTACACTAACTACTAATGAACAACACAAACTACAAATACATAAAACTACAGGAATTAGAGAGTCCAACTCTCTATTGATGATCATAAATTGAGGTCCAATCAATAATCAGTTCAGTAATCATTTACGATGGGGGTTCGAAGTTAATTTATGTAAGGTATTCTTATAAAAAAGGACAGAGTCCAAACCAAGTTGTTTAGTAGTATAGATGTATAATGAGAGTCAAATGCGCGTTTACAATCGTCTGATTAATCAACGATCTCGCCTAGGGCGAGAGGCAACGATAATCACCGAGAATTCCCGCGTCCTCGTTCTCACGTAACACCGTTCATTTGGCGCAGCGCACCGCTGATGAGTGCATCAATGTGCAGAGATCAACAGTAGACGCACTAACAAGTACCACACGTCCTGTGTAGAGGGAGAGTTTTAACATTTACGTGATGAGTGCAGCACAAACATGTGCAGAGACAACTGTAGACGCACTAACAAGTACCACACGTGCTGTAGAGGGTGAGTTTAAATATCTACGTGATGAGTGCAGCACTAACATGTGCAGAGACCAACAGTAGGAGGTATAATTAGTGACCACACGTGCTGTAGAGGGAGAAGAAAGCAAGTACCTCCGTGAAACACGTAGACGATTAGAAAAGTGCCGTATTGTGATTGTGTGACATGTGACTTGCATTGAAACTAAAAACGTTAAGTAAAAGTATGTTAAATTTGAATGCAGAGAAAGGAGACACATTATGACAGCCACGTCGCAACCATGACGTTATTTCACAGATCAGGAGTACCTACCTCTACGCTCCATGATTCCGAATAATTAGTCTCCTAAAGATCTTACACCGTGGGTTGGGCCGTTTCAATGTTTACAATTATTGTAATTCCTTAATTTAATAAAAATGAAAACCTGTGCAATAAATACTGAAAATGACCCTATAAAATATATCATTGAACGGTAACAAAACATTTTTTTTTAATTTTTTGTTGCCAATCATCGTGTGGATATTTTTTACTTATTATATCATCCGATTTCATGTAGTACAATGCTTCCCGTGAAATTAAACTCATTTTTATGCAATATTATACAGAAGTATAAATGCGTGTTTTAAAGATCACAACAACAAAATTACTTCAACCAAATTTTAATTGCTTTAACGTACATTTCAATATTACAGTAATGTTTTTGAGTGCTGTATAGTTTGTTGATCAAAATCTCTCTGATTTCATGGCTGTGTAGCTGAGTTGATATCGTGCTCGTCCATATGGCGATCAGAAGGTCGACAGTTCGATCCTGAGAAAAGTCAGTAGCTTTTTGATAGTTCGAAACTAGACCTTGCTGTCCTTTATCCCTGGGATTTCAGTAAATGGTCTTGTGCAGCTGATTTTTGTCAGCAACATTCAACCCTCGTCCTTCACCCATCTTCTCCTTCAATTCTCGCCTGCGTGTGTCGGTGTAAAAATCGATTCTAAAATAATCTTTTTAAAACAAAGATTTCAGTAGCCTATAATATTACGTAAAAATGTTTACTCTACACATTTTATTGACATTGGGAACCACAACTACGAAAAACAAGACACAAGAACTACATCTTTCTTCATTCGATGCTTCAACGAGGCCACTAAACCCCGAGTATTACAAGGATATTTTGTGGTCATATTTCTAAAGTTACTCTGGAAAGCTTGGACATGAATGTGTGGGCAGAAGTGGAGGGCAAAGCCCCCAGGTTGAAGCCCACCTGAGGAGCTTCGTCCCGCCCGCTGCCGTGGACACCGCCACCGCCTGCTGCGGTTATTTCCTTCTCCAACTACCGCACTAATTAGTGTTTGTACCGTGTTCGAACAAGGGATACGTCTTCATTATTGGACATCTCGCTCACTCGTCGACAGAGCTGTTGTAAATCGTGTTTTATCAATTTTAAATTTTAACTCAGATAGGCCTAGTTAAAAATCCTGTATGGCTATTTCATTTATATATCTTAATTTTAGGGTTTTCGTAATTCCCAAGTTAATTTGCGTTAACAGATAATGTACTAGATACTTTTGTATTTATGAGTCTTATCTAAATTAAAAATAAACACAACCAATGTAGTATATCCAACATAAACTTTGCAACAAAAAGTGTACTGAATAATTGTTATCGTGTGCAAAAGAGCTGTCATCATTGACATGAGACTGGAATTCGACTTTTCGTCGATTTCAGTATTATAGTACATAGTTGTTGGATGAATAATTACAGTTCATTGTTACTGAGTGATATTGCATGACTTTAGCTGTTCTTTTTCTTTAAATATCGCGTTGATTATAAAAAAGAAGGGGTTTGTACATCACTATCTTGTGTCAACCTAATCAGCGTCCACTTAAAATATTCGCTAGCAGCAATAGTGCTTTGTTGTGGTGAAGGACCTCTGAGACCGTGTCGAAGGATTGATGCTCAGCAGCGATTGTCCTGTGGTCCTTGGTCCTGGTCGTCATCTGTATGCGAGGAGGCAGCCAAGGACGACCCACCCACCCACCCCCGCATCCTCGCCATAACTTAAACCCACGTAATCTTCATGGTACCATCTCTGTTCAGTTAAAGGTTAAGTTTACCCAAGAGTGTTTACCCAAGATGAAGGAAGTTAGTGGATTGCGAGATCGGGAACTCAGAAGTTAAAAAAAAAATAATA